GCTAAACTAGCAATTTCTCAGAGTCCTTGTGTGAGTCTGGGTTCAAAGTTAAAAGAGAGGACAGTTGACTTTCTCTGACAGTTCAGGCCAGATCTCTTGACTCGTGACAGGACTGGCCTTGGGGGCCGAGATTCAGACCCGAGCTCAGGATTTCAGAGGCCGGATCACCTGTGGCTAGTCTCTGCTCTTTACTAACTGTCTGTTGTAGATAAGCTGTGTGTGATAAGATGTGTGCAGTGAAGGCTCAGAGCCATAGCTGCAAGGGAAATGTGGCTATGTATCACAGGAAGCAACGGCTGCTGGTGAGCTGATAGTAACTTAATAGCTTTATGATACAGGGAGGGGAAAATGCTCGCTGTCTTACCTATTTCAGCCTAATGTCTGTACATACACCCTGACACACACACACACACACACACACAGAGGAGGAGGGGGCGGTAAGTCTGCATGTTATCCGCCAACACTTTTTTCATCTGGTGAAAGAAAAGGTCAGTTTAATCTCAACACAGGCTTATCATACTCTCTTTGCAGTTAACAGAGATTTTTTTAAATCGCCTAACTAATTTTCACCTCCCAATTAATATTTCCAAAACACATTCCTACGCGGGTGAAGATATGTTCAGTCGTGTGTGGCGATAGGTTTCTTGGGCTTAATGGCATTTGCGTGCAGGTCATTTTAATAAATTCATCAATTACAACCGAGTTCAATTTAGTCTAGCCGCGAGCCACTGCAGTGCACAACCGTATTTTCAAGAACATTACAGTTGCTACTCTTTTTAGTTTTTTTTCCTGCCTGCAAAAGCCAGCAGGGTAATTTGCTGAAAAATTACCTGTGTTGCCTTGTAATGTAAGCTAGTCTGTGTAATTTTAAAACGCAGCGACACAAACGCACAATATGCTTGAGCTTTCTGATTGTGCAGCATGAGATGCAACGTCGCTTTTTATTCTCACCTCAGTGTTCATTTTCAAGCAGTTGTTTGTTTTAGTCCTAGTTTTTGTTTTAATAAAAATATCCTTTAAATTGTCAACATTTCATCATGCCATATTCATTACTTTTAGTCATTTGCCATATAATTTTATTTGAAGGGATATTTTATATATTTTTTGTCAGCTGTACATTTGATTTAAAATGGTTTTAAATTAAAATGTTATTAAACAGATCGCCCTTAATGGGACGGAGGCAAGTCTTTTTATATCTCAAATTATTGACTTTCTGAACTCTCAGCTGCTTTATTGTAGTTTAATTCCATTTGTAAGCCGACATGGTGTGTTTTCTCAGAAAACAAGCTAGTCTTGTTAATATTTGGAAGTCGTTTTTCTAATTTAGACTCCTTTACCTCTTTGTTGTGTCAGCATAATTGATTGAACTGATTTTGATTGAATGAGGTCCCATGACTAAACAGGCCAATTAGAGTTTGGGAATGAAATCTGTCGGTTAATGGAATTGTTACAGTTTTATTTTATTCTCAACCGTGTTGTCTGTTTGTATGTTCATATGAGGCCATCGTGTAAACAGGTCATTGTTTGTGTAATAGGTTGCCAAGTTGGGTGTGTGTTTAGCGGGATTACGGGTGATTTCTCTGGCAACACAAAGCTCGGCATAATCTCCTTATCATCAGATGAATTCCCAATAATCCTGTTATGACAGCTAACACTCCGTTGATCACAGAGCCGCTTCACTGGTTAAAAAAAACCCTTTGATTCCTGCCACTGACTCGGGTAAATATGGGGCATTGGATGCCTGCTAATGCTAACTAGATTTTTACATTTCCTGAGGCAAATGTGAGTGATGCTTAGCCTTGCAAAAGTCACTGCCAGGGTGATGGAGTGATTCCCAGGGTGTTGCTATGCAGTTGCTAAGGTGTTAAAGGTGGTTGCAGTGTGTTCTGTGTGGATACTATTACAGGCCCAAGTTTCTGAAGCTTCGTTCAGGAAGGGAAAAATAATCAAATCTGATTTTTCCAAGCCTGATCCCAAGCACCTTCATGATTAAAAGCTTTGTTAAATTGTTCTCCATCTGAACAATCACATTTAGTTTTTTTGTTTTTTTTCAAGTCTATTTGCTTAGAAAAGCAATTGCGTATTTCTCCTCGACAGCACAATTGGAGGTGTTCATTGCTCAGACAATGCAGAAATGTAAATAGTGCAGCAACAAAAATAATTCTGCAATATATATAATAAATTAGCCCTAGGAAGGACTACTAAAAATATAAATTGCATAACTAAGGCATGTGAGGGAACCTGGAGTTTAAAGATGTTCACAATCCAGTATCTCTCATTAGCAAACCATTTGTCTTAATGTGGTCGATACATGCAGATTTAGTGGCCAGAAGTCACATTTTCACAAAGTTTGCAGTAATCGTTCTCTGGACAACCAGCACACTCAACTTATGACCTCTGCACCACCTCCAGAGGTAATTTTGAGGCTCCACAGGTTCCTCTACACTGGAGGGTTCTGAGGTTGAGAACCAAGGCTTGGATTGTCTCACACAGGAAGTTAAATGCTGACACGTCCCTGAAGGGTTTGTGGGTAGTTCAGTAAATGTTCATTTAGGACTGAGATGGCTGAAGCTTACATGTTCTTATGGATTTTACAGTGAAAGATTCTTCACGTTGAGCTCTTTCTGTCTCGCTTACTTTCTCTTTGTCTCTGATCTGCCAGCATTTGTTCATAATGAGATTCCTACAGGACGGGAATTCCAGGGAGAGACAGGCGTCTGACTGTACATGCTGCTGGCTTTCGCTGCAGCCCACATCCTCTGAGACGTGAGAATGATGAAGAAAGAGAGGACAAGAAACACACACACATCAAGTATTGCTAAAGCACAGGCTACTGCCTATTGCTTCTTTCAGTCATCCCTTACTATAGTGGTACAATATTTTCTATTTACCTCTCATTTCTGTTAAAATAAAATCTGTATTGGGAGTTTTTGACCTATTAGGAGATGTGACCTTAAAGGAATAGCTCACCCAAAAATGAAAGTTTGCTGAAAATGTACTCACCCTCAGGCCATCCAAGATGTAGATGAGTTTGTTTCTTTATAAGAACAGATTTGTAAAAATTTAGCATTACATCACTTGCTCACCAATGGATCCACTGCAATGAATGGGTGCCGTTAGAATGCACAAATAGCTGACAAAAACATCACAATAATCCCCAAGTAATCCACACGACTCCAGTCCATCAATTAATTTCTAATGAAGTGAAAAGCTGCTTGTTTGTAAGAAGAAAAAAAAATTTTTTGGGTGGGTGGACTATTCCGAGTTCCAAGTTCTCATATATGCTAGTCGGACGAGATGAATAATGGTTTGTTTAGATGTTCTCCTAAAATCCTACCCTTAAAGTCCATGAAATAAATACCCATGTGAACTCTGCAAGTAATTTGTGCACACAGTTGTCACATTTGAGTCATGTGGGTCATTGTCCTTGCAGTCAACGATATCCAAGTAAATATATGCATTTAGATGCAAAAGTGCATGCGTTTGTGTGAATATGTTTTACTTTATGACATACTAATACACAGTGTTGTGGTTGTTCCAGTTATACATGGAAGCAAGAGGAATAATTGACAGGTCTGGGTTGGTCGTGTATGTGTGTGCTTTACAGGCCCAATTGTGGTGCTTTACGTGAAAAATGCTCCCTCTTTCCCTTTCTCCCTCACTCATCCTCTGACGAGCAAGCGTGTGTCACCCAGAACGAACATGTTTAATTTCCTGTCAGCACTGGGTGTCTTCATTTTTTTTCTGTTAAAGCACAATGCACACGCAGAACCTTGTCAGCCATTTTCATCGGCGATTTCCCCAAGGCCTGTTCCCCTTTTCTGTCTCCTCCCTCAATCATATGGATTCATTAGCTGGGGGTTTAGAGTTTAAAACCCTCCTTCTTCTTCTCCTCTCTTTCCTCTGCTTTGAAGGAGAACCTCCTGAGGTTCCTACAACTGGTTAAGATATTGAATCCGACAGTGTTTAATCTGTACTATGGAGTGTGGTTCTCTGTAAACAATAAGAATATACAATGGCCTCAGAAGTATTTGGACATTTCTGCAATACTTATTTTGTGATAAGTATTTTAATAGGTATTTTCTTTTAAAGAAATTAATAATTTTATTCAGCAAGGACACGTTCAGTTGATCAATAGCAACAGAAGAGAAACATTTATAAATTTAAAACTATTTTCTATTTAAAATAATTGTTGTTTCCCATGAAAACGTTTGAATGCATACGTGAGTTTGTGATATGACATTTGATGTGACTTTTTTTGGTCACTACATAATTCCCATACTTCCATTTAGTTTTAATGACTTTATTATTATTATAAAATATAAAAAATAGTCATATAAAGAATGTGTAGGTGTATCCAGGTGTGACTATAGTGTATCATAAAACCCCTTGAAACTAAACATGTTAGATTCCTTCTGTATCAGTGGGTTATGATGTCTTGCATTATGAATATATGTTACTCTGTATGGAGGCAGTGAGTGATCAACATATGCTTGAGATGTTCTTTGGAATTCACTTGATCATTTTTATTATGCTACATTGTTGTATTCGTGTCTGTTTGTGTGTGCGTGTGAGCATATAGGTGAAACTGAGAGGTTTGTATGTGAGCGAGAGTGTGAAGTGTATGTGTGTGTGTGACTGTCGCCTGGGGAGATGTCAGTGTTTCGTGTGCATATTGAGGCGCGCTGCTCCCATATGATGATTTATTACTTCTTTTAGAGATCCTGCCTGGCATTTAGTGGAGTCATATTGAAACCCACACGCCACCAAAACAAGCTCTGACACTTAGATCTGCTATGCCACATGCAGAGACTGTGTGTGTTTATGTGTGTGTGTGAGAGACAGATTGTTAATTATAGTAGTTCTGGGCCTGGTGGAGCCCATCTTAACTTTACACCAAGTACTGTCCTCTCATCTGTAGAGGTATCATCTGTAAAAAGTTATAAAGTAGTACATTTGTTTCATCTTTCTCTTTTTTCCCTTTCTCTCTGGTTCTCCAGAGGGAAACAGACAGCAGATAATAGGTATGAAGAAAGATCCAGGCTCTGGTGTTCCATACTAGGAGTGTAGCAGTCCATAGTAGGTATACCAGAGGTCAGAGTCAATTTCAAAAGGAGCATTTACTCTATATCCAGTCCACACCTTCACGCTCTTGATCATAAAGCACCGCTTTTAATGTGTGTGGCCAGATTTGATCAACAAACACCCCCTCTACCCTTGTGATTCCTCCAGTGGACAATGTTTTTAAAGATGTGGGGGTTTAGGTTCTGCCTGGAGATTACTGGTAAGGATTTCATAGACCAGTAGGATGTTTACTAAGCCACAGTGTCACAGAGATGATGGTGCATGTTGTATATATAATTAGTGATGCTCGCTAATGCTTATGCGTGTTTGAACAAACCCCTAACCCTAAGCAAATTGCTATGTCAACTTATCCTTCACTAATTGGGTGTGGACATGGATTATACTGTATTTCAAGTCATGCAGCATGCCAGGGAGATGTGTGCGCTTACAGTACCTGGCTATACTTGTGATGGGACTAAAGGCCTGTTCACACCAAGGATACCTATAACGCACACTGCAGTTATATCGTCTGCTACATTAAATGATCAAGCTCTTTAAAGTCATTTGTATTCTGATTGACTGTGAATTTTTATCATTAATCAAAACTTTGCAAAACTACATATTTTCAAAAACAACTAGTTGTTGGGTTGCCCGAATGACTGATTTATTTGTATGTAAGAAGCCCTGTATTTAGGCTAGTTTAGGTTCAATTGGGGTGTTTTTAGGAAGCGTTTACAATAATACATTTATGGAATGTATTTCTTTCTTCCTTTCAAAATTAAAATAAATTATCAAATAATAAAATGAGTTAAATGCCCTCTCAAATGATAAATCAGATGCTTAAATGCCATTTTATTTCTGCATTTGGGAAAGCATATATCGTAATCATAATTAAAATCATAATTAAAACTATAAATCAATGATTAAATGATAAATCAAATGTCAAAATCAACATCACAAATGAAGAATGAAATGCTCAAATTGAAATAGCAAAAGACAAAACAAATAGTCAAAATAACATCATAAATCATGTCAAATGCTTAAACTGACAAAAGTATCAAATAGTGTTGCATGTTATTTTTGTTATAGTTTATGCTTCATCAAATGAGGAAATTAAATTCCATTTAACATTTCACTTATCATTTGAGCTGCCATTTTGAGATAATTGATTTATTATTTTATAATTTGAGCATTTGATTGATCATTTTAATTTTGTTAGTTAAAAAACTAAATGTTTTTTCAGAAATGCAAAGGTCTAGAGATACATTTTTACTTTAAATTTTTTAACTTAATTGGGAATGAATTAATGAATGAATTAATTAATTAATAATGCATACATAAACAAAAAACAAAACAAAAAAGTACGATAATGTAGATAAACTCGTCAACCTTCTGAATCAACTCGTCATCCTTCCAATATGATGTTGTTGGATGGCTAGTTGACAAATGCTATCGATTCCGAACATCTAGAGACCAGAATATCATAGAGATTTGTGGATGGGTTCTGTTGACTTGGGCCTGTAATAAACCTCCTAGCAACCACTGAAATCACCTTAGCTACTGGATATCAATGTGCTAAAAACACTCAGAACACTGCATAGCAATGCTTTGTTAATCTTCATAAATCCTACAGTAGCATTGTGACTTTTGAATGCGCAACCACCATTTAGACCATGTACTAATGTAGTTGTATGTGCCTGTATGTCCCTCTGTTTATGTATTATTAATAGAGTTTGACCTCATCCTGTAGGCCTTCAATTACTGTTCTACCGCAGCTAACTTGATCTTTATAGCACCTGGTCTCACCCTCTCATCTCAGGCCATTAAGTGTGTGTTTCTGTGTACATCTGTAAATGTGTGTGTGAAGCTTTACAGATCTTTGCATTCTCTTCCATTCCTTCCCATCATGCTTTGCCCTGCCCTCACCTCATCTTCGTGTGCGTTTGGATTGGCAGTGACAGCTGTCTCACCCCTCTGCACAGACAGATACCGCTGTCTTACTTACCAGTAGCCCTGAGGACCACAAGTACAGCTTTATTCTCTGGAGGAAGTGAAGTCACTGTGTTCACCTGTGTTCTCAATGCACTTCATACAGATGTGGTGAGGTATATGCACTTTTAGTTCTGGTCCACAGATTTATGAATGAGTATTTGAATCATGCATTCAACCGATACATTCAAAATCACCAAAACAAGTAACTGGTTGAATTTTAAATAGCATACAATTCAAAACTTTAGGGTCTGTACAATTTGTTTATTATGTATGTCATGCTCACCAAGGCTTAAAAATGAAATATTATTACAATTTAAAATGTATATGAATCATTCTAATATGCAGATTTGATCCTTAAGAAACATTTCTTATTATTAATGTTGAAAACAGTTCTTCTACTTAATTTTATTGAAACTGATTCTATTGTTAATAACATATATATTATAAAGATAATATTGGCAGGAATATTTAGAAAAGTATTCCAGTATGCTTTTATAATTTCATTGACTGTCTGTATGAGTGAGTCATTGAAATATTATCACATATGAGATATGAAATATTCTCACTCAATTTTAACACACTGGAACACAACAAGTAACGTGTGTTGTTTGGAGATAGTAAATTATGTTATGGCTTCATTGGAATTATTTTTGTAAAAATAGTAGACTGAGAGATTTTATTGTGTCTAAAATGCAAAATGACTCCAAATGGCCATCTTTTTGATTAAACGTTGTATAAAAGCAATATCACACTCACAATTATGCTGCTTGTCTGAATCTCAGCATGGCCTGCAACATAAAATATTTTCTGAAGTCGTAATATAGCTTTGTGTAAGGAACAGACCAAAATGTAGGTCAACGCTCACAAAAAACAGGTCCTTGACACATTCAGGAGAGAAATAATGTCACGAATAAATTGTTCTGGTGAGTTGGATCTTTTCTGTTCAACCCTAATGAACAGATCACAGAGAAGATTATAATGAAGATTTGACTTTGATTTAACATAGAATATTGACTTAAATGTCTGTCTGTTCCTCACACAACTTTTTTCATGTGCCATCAGAAGACTTGGAATATATTGGTCAAGTCATATAAACTACTTTTATGTTTCTTCTGGGGTGCTTTTTTGTCCTTTTTGTAGCTTGATAGCACATGGTCATTGTATGTATGATAAACAGCAGCATGACCACTCATTTTTCTGTTCCATTGAAGAAAGTCAGGTTTGGAGTGAACCTTTTAAGTATCTTTTTTAAGTATCTCTTTTTGCTATATAGAGAGAGACAGAGATGGACAGAGAAAGAAGTAGACATAGAAATGCCTGTTTGTGTTCTTGTAATGTTTGTAGGTCTGAAATAAGGTGGGAGCTTGTGCAGAGGGAGAATTGCTTTTGTTAATTGATGTGAATGAAATTGACACCCCGGTCAACACTCTCCAGTCTTATTCCCAGCTGCCACACACAAGCCAATCAATGCCCATCATTATCCGCCAGCAGCAACCTCATGTAATTAAACTCTTCCCGGAGCAGTCTTTATTTTCAGCTCGCTGCCACGAGTGCGTGTGCAGTCCCATAGCAGGCCTGATCTGAGATCAGTGCATTTCCCCTCTCGTGAAGTGCCTCCTACAGCGGATAGAGCCATGCCTGGGTCAGCTCGGGTCTTAAAGAGAACTTTCTTTAGAGCAGGACCGCATGGCCCATTAAAATCTCATCTCCTCCCTCGGGCTTCCAGACCAACTTCCACCTCCCCCGTCCCACGTCGCCCGAGGATAGTTCTAATTTAATCAAAAAACTGCACTTTCCTGTAGAATTTCTTCAACCGTTTTGTGTTTAGCATGTAAAAAAAAAAGCATGTAGCATGGAGTACTTAAAGGAATTAGAAGGAAATTGAAACAAGTAAAGGAAGAAAAGTTGAAGACTGGCACTTTGCCTGGCCTCCCAGCTACTGCTGTAGCCAAGACAGAGAGATGAGCTGTCCGTCGTCCTGAAATCATGAAATCACCACACAGCGAGACGCTCTCTGCTGGGCTGTTTGCAAATGAATTCATCTGGAGATCATTTTACCATTTGGGGAGTCTAATTTCGACCACGGGACAGTTTTGGCACCTGATAAAATTATGAGTGAGAAAAGCTGAGGCAGGTGGAAGAGAGGGTTTCTTTACCTTTGTTTATGCCACAAACGTACATGAGACGCTTCTAAGCACTGTAGGTCTGAGTGAAAAGGCTTCAAGGGCCCTTTTCAAAGAGGCTTCTGCCTCTTTAGCTGATATTTTCTTCTCCAAATTATAGCGTGGGAAAAGGAATGTGACACACTGCATGTGAAAGATACCCAGCCACTGCCTCCTCGGCACACTCTGCCGCCAGCCACTTTTATATTTATTTTCTCTCCGCACACACACACTTAGTTTGGCACTCGTCTTTGATACAATTCCAAGAGCTGTCAATCAGCCTTCATGTAATGCTTGGCAGAGATGGAGAGGAGGAGTTGGATGTGTAGCCGTGCTCTTCCACAGTACAAATGTACACTCTTGAGTGCCAAAACAGATCAGGTAGAAATTACAAACTTTACTTAGAAACTTGGGTTTAACTGAGTTGAACTGAGTCTTGTGGAGTGCGACTGTGTGCTATAGCTGACTTTAGTTACACCAGGCTTGATGCAACAAGTATCCAGTAGCAAGCACCTTGTCCGTTCAAACTGTTGCGTGACGTGACACTATCTGAAGCAATGAGACAATGTTTTATGTTTAATGTATAGTTTATGCTGATTTTGAACCAATATGATTGCACAAGGGCTGGGATATCCAGTGCAAAGTTGTAAAGACCAAAAAAAAAAATTAGGGTTTGTCACTTTGTCATTGATCAAGGTAATTTTGTTTTTTTTGTAGTGTAAGTGCAGTCTATATGTCTGCACTTTGCCAGCTGCTCTGTTTCTAGTACTTCTTTTTTCCTAGTTAAAATTCTAACGTTATGATATACAGAAATGCTGAACTCCACTAATTGTGTCTCACGTAGAACCAGG